AGTTTGGAAACCAAGGTCTAAGAATATTAAACGGTAAGGGTGGGACAAGGTGTCGTTCGCGCCTTTAATTCCAGCGCTCTGTGAGTTTGAAACCAACCTGGTCTACATGACAAGTGTCAGGCCAGAGTTACATGGGGAGACCCTATATCAAAAAAAAAAAAAAAAATTCAAAACAAAAATACAGCTTTAAGGAAGAATTAAAACAAAACAAAAAGATAAACGAGCCTGAGTTCCCTGGTGTGGCCTCAGAACAGTGAGCGACTGACACACCAGCGCCAGCTCAAGGAACACTTTTATGTGGGCCCTAGATGCTTCCCTAACCGATGGTCACAGGCGAGTGCTACCACACCTGGCTGGCAACAGGGCCTAAAACTCGTGTTCTACTTGGACTCTGAACCATGGAAACAGATCCATATACAAGACACACACAGAGATGCTCACTGGGTCTCTACAGCCAAATGCTCCAGACAGCCCCAACTTCCGTCAGCTGGGAGAGGAGTCAGCTAGGTCACGCCTCTTAAAGGCATGGAATTTTCACTGAGGAATTTTTACAACCAAGCTCACAAAACAATGGAAACTTAGTATGCTGATGCTATACATGTAAACATAGCCTCACTCAACTACATCTGTATATGCAGTCTAATGCTGATGTACAGAGATGTACATATTTATATCACAGGATGCCAATTCTTTGTTTAAAAATACAGATATGACTATATCACAAATAAATAATAGAAAAGAAATCACCAAAATATTAAGTGATTATCTCTAATAACTTTGAGTTTTTTGTTGTTTTGGTTTTTGAGACAGGCTAGCCTCAAATTTGCTATGTAGCTGAGGATAACTTTGAACCTTTGAAGCTCCTGCTGCCACATCCCAAGTGCTGGGATTACAGGTACAAGCTACCACACCCAGGTTTTATGGTGCTGGGGGTTAAAGCCAGGAATTGGTGCATGGTAGGCAAGGATTCAACCACACAATAACATCATCAGCCCATAGTCCTGTCTTGTATATTTCTAAAAATTACACAAATATTTATTTTTATTTTTTAACTTGTTCAAGGTTTTATTTATTTTTAGGAATGTAGTCTGTGCACCATATGTGTGCATTGTCCACAGGGGCTAGAGGAGAGCATCAGATCTCTTGGAACTAGCATTTCAGACGGTTCTGAGCTGCCATGTGGGTGCTGGAAATTGAATCTGGGTTCTTTGAAAAAGCAGTCAGTGTTCTTAACCACTGAACCATCTCTCCAGAACTGAAATTAATTTTTTAAGGTGTGTGTTGTATTAGCTCAAGACCTCACACACACTAGGCAAATGTGTTATTACTAATCTATACCTCAACCCCAAAATATATCCCTTATTGAGATAGTCAGTGGGTAAAGAGCTTTCTATGGAAGTAAGCAAGCATAAGGACCCAAGTTCAGATCCCAGGACCTACGTAGAGCCAGGTGCAGCAGCAGCAGCACCTGATACTCCAGCGCTGGGCAGCGCAGAGACAGGTGCATGCTGGGAGCTCACTGGTCAGCCAATTTAGCCAGAAAAGTGAGCTCCAGCCACAGTGAGAGACCTGTTCACAAAATAAATAAAATAGAAATAAATAAATAAATAAATACGGTTGGGGAGATGGCTCGAAGCATAAAAATAATTGCCACTTGCTGGGCGGTGGTGGCCACACCTTTAATCCCAGCACTTGGGAGGCAGAGGCAGGCGGATCTCTGTGAGTTGGAGGCCAGTCTAGTCTCTACAGAGTTAGTTTCAAGACAGCCGGGGTTACACACAGAGAAACCCTGTCTCAGGGAGGGAAAAAAAGTAATTGCCACTCGACAATACAAACCTGGCAACTTGAGTTCAATTCCTAGAACATATGGGAGAACAGACTCCATGAAGGTGTCCTCCAGCCTCCACACATGTATCATGGTATGTACATACCTCCAACAAAATAAAATTTTAAGCTGGGCAGTGGTGGCACACACCTTTAATCCCAGCTCTTGGGAGGCAGAGGCAGCGGATCTATGTGAGTTTGAATCTCACATGCACATACCACACACAAACTCAAAATAAGTATCTTTCTGTTTGTTTGTTTCAACACAGGGTTTCCCAGTAACCATGGAGCCAGTTCTAGAACTCGCTTTGTAGGTTGGCCTCAAACTCATAGAGATCCTCCTGCCTCTGCCTCCTGAGTATTGGGATTAAAGACATGCGCCACCACTGCCCAGTTGCAAAATAAATATCTTAAAAAGAACATAATTCTTTTCCTAGAGAATTTCTAACCAATCGGAAAGTGCTTATGACATAATGTACTCTATGAGGACGCAGACAGTCATATATATTCAGTGTAGCAACCATTCACTGTATAAACGCGTAAGTGCCAGGAGAATAGTAGTGACTGTCAGTCTGGGTGGCAGGACTCTAACTCTTTCTTCATTTCCAGATCTTCTGCAGTGAGGGTGTCTCACATTGCAGCTCAGAAAGGGAATCCTCTAAGTTATATTTAGAGCAGTTCATGTGAACATACATGGGCTCCTTGACCCTGTCTGGAGTTGCCGGTATTTGGGGATTTCTGCCATGTGGTCAGACTGATGTCTGAACTAGAGTCAGGACCAGCATCCGCACAGATTCCAGAGTTGCCCCAAGAACATACACTAGGTTAACAGCAACTGTACAGAGGACAACACAGCTCGAGCTCTCTCTGCAGGCCCGGCGATGTGCTCCCTGCCTTGAACACATCATCCCGCTGAAGCCAGGGTTGTAGTGTAAGACTTTAAGACAATTCTGAAGCCATTTCTGACAATTCCAAACCCTCTCAGCCTCTGTGCCTCAGTGCTTCCCCTCCTCCCCTGGGAACCAAGGACCTAACAGCTACACATGCACGTACTCAGTTCCTGAACAATTACCCATACACGTATGTTTTGACTCAGTCCCCTGGGAAACGGGGTCAAAATGACCTCTTACCTCATCTGATCTGACAATAGTTCTCCAGTCAATTATTGATATTAGCCCTTTTCGAATAAGCCAATCATAATGGTCAAGGAACAACCCCTCTTGTTTCTATGGGGCCTTCTATGGTAGACTGTACCAGCTAGTTGGGGTCTCTCAGCTTCCCGAATGCTGGGGGACCCTGTCATGATAGAATTAATAAAATCCTCATGCTTTTGCATCTGCTGTGGTGTATGAGGTGGTCTCTGGGGGCGACTCCTTCTCAGGTTGGACACTAGAGTCCAACAGTAGTCTTTGCCCAGGGAGGGCAGAGGTAGACTAGCCTCACATGCCCAGCTCTGCTCATCAGTTCATCCTCCGAATCTCTGCTTAAGTTGCAGGTTTAGGGCTGACCACTCAGTGGTCAGACTACTGGCAGTTCTTCCAGAGGACCCAGGTCTCACATGAAGGCTCACAATTGTCTGTAACTCCAGTTCCAGGTGATCTAGCACCCTCTTCTGGCCTGCAAGAGCTCCAGTACACACATGGTACACGAACATACATGCAGACAAAACACCCATATATATTAAATAAAAATAAATACATCTTTTAAAAATTATGGGTTGCAACCCTCATATGGGATCATGCAATGAACATCAGGGAGGGGCTGCAACAAGCTTGGCAGCAGTGAACGGTTTCTGCAGACCCAACTGAAAATGTGCTCCAAGGCAAGCATGCAGTCAACCCGAGGGGCGCATGGCAGCACTTCCTCTGCAGCCTTGGTTCTGAACACACACGTGCACATTTGCCACCAATGCCACCGTGCCACAAAACACCACAGAGTGCCGTGAAATCCTCAGCTGGGACCCAAGGCTATCTACTACTGCAGGCAGCCGTGTCTTTCCTGCAGAACTACGATCACGTGACTACAGGAAACAAAGACTTTTCCAATTTCCCTATCATTGCTGCTAGGATATGAGTATTACAATATATTTGGAACAGACTCCAATAGAAGTTTGATTTTTTTCTTTGTCCCCTATCCTGAGGATTGAGCCTAGGGCCTCAGGTATGCCAGGCAAGAACTCTGTTGATGAACTAGACCCTCAACCCAAAACACTTGATTTGAGAATTGCTGTTTGAGTTGCTGACTCAAGTTTTATTTTTTTTTTAAAAAAAAACTAAATAAATTTTGATTTGGAATTAGACTTTCCAACAATTCCTAAATGACCCTATGGTTTTTTTTTTGCATCATGCATTTATGTGAAGCAGTATTCTTAGTATTAATGATCATAAAATCAAATCTCAGCCGCCTCTGAAAAGCACTGAAGCTGCTCTTCATCTTGCAGCATCGGACATTTAGCATTGGACATCTTGCAGCGTTGGACATTTTTTTCGAGACAGGGTTTCTCTGTAGCTTTGGAGCCTGTCCTGGAACTGTAGACCAGGTTGGCCTCGAACTCACAGAGATCCACTTGCTTCTGCCTCCCGAGTGCTGGGATTAAAGGCGTGTGCCATCACCGCCAGGCTGAGATTCGATTCTTTATGTAAGAAGAAATGAGCACAAACATCTCACTAGTATGCAAAATTGTTTTGTCCTCAACAAGTGGTAAAACTGTATGGAAGCCACAAAATTCCTTCCTCATCATTTATTATCAGCAAATGTTTGATTTGTGTAACTATTTTATACACTAATATACCCAGAGTTGTGCAAAGAAGGGTTTGCAGGCTGGGTGTGCTGGTGCACGCCTTTAATCCCAACACTTCGGAGGCAGAGGCAGGCAGATCTCTGAGTTCGAGGCCAGCCAGGACCACAGAGTGAGTTCCAGAACAACCAGAGCTACATAGAGATCCTGTCTCAAAGGGAAAAAGGGGGTGGGGAGTGCAGGCAGCAAAGGCTTAGGAGGCCCCTCTGCATGTAACAGCACATCCATGGGGAACTCTGCCCGGGCAACGGGCACATCTTCATCCCCAGTCATACTCAGATCACCTGGCACGTTTCCAGGCGGGCCCGTAGTGACTGCTCCCGGAGGCACCTGATATAAATAGCCCATCCTAGCGCTGATCTCGTGTGCGTGTACCTACCTTCTCCTCTGACGGGTAAAAACCGATCGCTCTCATGACAAAAGGGAGCTCCGACAGGCAGATATGTTCTGACACCTGCCTGGTCTCCATCGTATCGATGCCTTGACTGCGAATCTGAGAATAGTAGAAGTAGTCCTCCAGCTCCTGCGTGGAACCAATCAGAAACGGCACGCGGCAGTCAGCTCCAGCCAGGAAGGGGGTGTTCTCTAGAAAGCCTATGCCAAGCTTAGTAGGGAGGAGGGGCTTTATGGACAAGCATAGAGGGTTAGTCTCTAATGTCTGCCTTGACAAGATGTCCCCAGGAAGTGTTTGATGACAATTACCCTGTAGAATTTTCCTTCTCTGCCACCAGCCACCAGACCGTAGAATGGGGTCAAGTCTTCACCCCCAAGAGAAACGGCCGCCTCCAGGGCACTGGAACAATAAGAAACATCATCGTTAGGAAGTACTCACACATGAAGTCACGGAGCAGTCGCACAGATGGTGGCCTCTGCAGGGTCTCTGTCCCTCAGTGATGAAGCCTGCGACAGAAATTCAATTTCAAGCGTGGAACGCAGCCGTTCAGGGCGCCCACCTTAATTATGGTGATATGCTCGTTCTGATGACAGGGCAGGTGCCTGGCAATTTGTCTGCTATCTTTGGGGACCACATCTCTCCTGGGGGCTGGGGGAGGCTCCAGTCTGAAACCTCAAACCTCCTGAGCTGATCACACCCGACCAGCACCAAAAGGACGGGGTGCTCTTCAGGTGCACTGCCAGTACTAATTGCTCTCAGAAAAGCCCGGGAGATCACAGGGACCCATGCCAAGTGGATAAAAATAACCCTCTGCTCTCTAGCACAGGGTCAGGTTCTCCGAAAATAGGCCCTTTGAATGGGAAGAAAACCTACTTTTGCATGAGACCAACCGACTTTTCCTTGCTCAAAAGGCAAATAATCTAAACTCACTATTTTTTTTTTTAAAAAGCCACTCACTGGATTTCCACTAGTCCAGTGAATTAGAGCCTACTTCAGTGAAGACCTACGGTGGAGAACTGAAGAATCCAGAACTGGAGTCACAGGGGCGTGCACGCGAGCCCGATTGTGCCACTGGCAAGCTTGCGGCCACGAGAAATACCCACCTCTGCTCGGTTTCCACATCTGTGAAATGGGAAGGGTCATGCAGGGCTGTCATAGAATTAAGTAAACACACGTGAAGGATTTGCCACAGGCCCTTTATTTTCCTCGAGTTCAATTCCATCACTTGAGCCATCAATAGACCCCGTGGAAGTTAAGTGGGGATAAGAGCGACACTTGTCTCCCAGGATGGCTGTGAGGATGAAGTCAAGACGACTGTGTAAAACAGCCAGAAGAGGGCCAAGCCCAGAGCGCAGTTCTGTCTGTGCCAAGGACAGACGATCACTGGTATGTCCTTGCCCTTTTCATAAGAACTACAAAATATCCTCTGCCCTGCTTCTGGGTCCAGGGGAGGGCCTGACACATTGGTCTCCACATGTGCCTGAGGTCCTTTCCTGCAGGGCCCAGGCTTCACTGACTTCTTGGATCTGACAGGAAGCTATGAAGGCAGGTGATCAGCTTGTCATTCCTTCCCCCTAGGCTGCTCCTGATTCCAAGGGTAACAAGGTCACTTTCAGACATGCTGCCTAGAGCAGAGTATCAGGACCAGAAGGGACCTGGGACCCTGTCACCACCAGGAACCCCAAGGGTAGGGATGCAAATGCACTGGGCTCCCTAGGACAGCCTGATTTTCTGGGCTCTGTTGTCAGCATTGTGCCACATGCACCCTGCTCCTGCCACCGTCTGCTGACCCTAGAGAGACCAAATTTCTCTAACCAGAGCAAAGAAAGGGGCTCATTCTCTCTGTGGCAAGGGCTACAATCTGAGGAGGCTGCAGAGCTGGGCAGGAAGAAGGCTAAGAGCCACCAGTGGGTGGCTGTTCTGCAGGCCCACTCTGCGGCCAGGCAGCCACATGGGATTCCGGTCACCTTCCCAAAAGCCTCCTTGTGCCTAAATTGAGGTCTCAATCACACTAAAGAGAGAGAGAGACAGAGACAGAGACAGAGACAGAGAGATCACTGGGACATGGAAAGAAAGAGGCATTTTATTTATTCTTTTAGATTTATTTTATTTTGTATGCATGAGTGCTTTGCCTGCATGTATGTATATGCACCACATGCATGCCTGGGGCCTAAGGAAGCGGTGAGCCTCCATGTGGGTGGGTGCTGGGAATTGAAACCGGTTCTTTGCAAGAACAATAAATGCTTTTAACTGCTAAGCCAACTCTCAATAGGATCTACTGAATATATCTTGTACTCAGGAATAGCATGGTTGCTTCTAGGCAAGGGGGCAATGCTAGAGACATCATGAGTGACATCAGGCAGGTACCCGAGAGATACTCCCCAACAGAGGCGTGGATGGTTTCCACCGCATAGAAGAGCTGGGGCTTGGAGGAGTCAAAGTCTACATTATTTTGGTTGTTGTTGTTGTTCGTGTTTTATATTTTGTGTACCCCACGTTAGCCTTGACCTCACTAGGGAGCTGAGTATGACCTTGAACTGCTACTTCCTGAGTACTAGGGTTATTGTCCTGCGCTGGCTGCTACGTCTGACCAAGCTGGAATTTGAACCCAGGTCTCTGCTTGTATTTGAGCAGGAGGGGGAAGATCTTTCCACCCCACTTCACTCTGCAGCTCTCTCATCAGTAAATCCAGTACAAAACCAAAAGCTTTTCAGAGAGGGTCTCTCAACTCAGTACAAAGTGGAGGATGATCTTGGTATTCTGGTTCTCCTGCTGCCCCCTCCCGAGTGCTGGCATTATTGGCTTGTGCCACCATGATGGGTTTTCTTAGGGTTACTGTTGCCTAATGGAGCGACCAAAGCTATTTGGGGAAGAAAAGCTTTATTTGACTTAACTTTGTCCGTTTATTTTTTTCGAGACAGGGGTTCTCTGTTTAACAGTCCTGGCTGGCTATCCTGGAACTTGCTTTGTAGACCAGGCTGACCTTGAACTCAGAGATCCACTTGCCTCTGCTTCCCAAGTGCTGGGATAAAGGTGTGTGCCACCACTGTCTGGTGGTTTAACACTTCTTGTATCACCATTCATCCAAAGAAAGTAGGGCAGGAACTCAAGCAGAGCAGGAACCTGGAGGCAGGAGCTGGTGCAGAAGAATGCTGCTCACTGACTTGCTCTCCGTGGCTTGCTCAGTCTGCTTTCTTATAAGACTCAGAACAGCCAAGCAGTGGCGGTACACGTTTTCAGTCTCAGCATTTGGGAGACAGATCCCTGTGAGTTCGAAGCCAGCCTGGTCTACAGAGTGAGTCCAAGGGCAGCCAGTGCTACACAGAGAAACCCTGTCTAAAAAAAGAAAAACCTAAAAAAATCAGGACCACCAACCACAGTGGGCTGGAGCCTCCCATATCAATCACTGAGAAAATGTTCTTCTGGCTTGCCCACAGCCAAACCTTGTGGAGGCGTTTTCTCAGTTGAGGTCTCCTCCTCTCAGGTGACTTCAGCTTTTGTCGAGCTGATATAAAAGTAGCCAGCACATGCATGCATCTTTGTGGGACTGGGACTGGAGCTCAAGACTTCATACATGCTAGGCAAGCACGCTACCAGCTGAGCTGCAGCCTGGGCCCTAGTGGACGCTAGGCAAGCATGCTACCAGCTGAGTTGCAGCTCGGGCCCTGGTGCATGCTAGGCAAGCATGCTACCAACTGAATTGCAGCTTGGGCCCTGGTGCATGCTAGGCAAGCATGCTACCGGCTGAGCTGCAGCCTGGGCTCTGGTAGAGAATTGTATTGTTTACTTGTTTGGGGCTTTTACATTTCTTTCCATTAGTGAAATGCTGAACATATTAAGTCACCAGAAGCAGCAATAAAGTGCTAATTAGTTTGTAATGATCCTTTGTCCCTACAACAGATTAAATTGAAATTCTCAGAAGCCTGGATTCTGGCCAAGCATAGGAACACTACTGGAAATCCCTACTGGATCCCACTTTGACTGAGGCCAAAAATCAAAATGGAGAGACTTCATCTCCCTCCAGCATGCCACTGGCTCCAAGGACTGCAGGTGGCCAGTGGGTGACACATTGGAACTGCTGGGGAAGTGTTTCTGGATGGAGAGCTAGCTCACCTCCAGTTCCCAAGTCCTGGATCAGCTCACCCAGGATGGCAGAGGCAGAAGGCAGAGCTGCAACTGCAGTCTGAGGCATCATGGCACCAGAGCAGATTTCGCCAGCTATTCTCACTCGAGTTCAGGGTACGAAGGAAAGTGTTAACGTCTGCCGTAAAGGGAAAGACGTGTGCTTGGCAGATGGCAGGGGCAGACGTTACTGGGAGCCATGAATCAGGCAGCCTTTTGAGGGAGGAGGGGACCTCTGCTGTCTGCCTCTGAAGCTTGCATGGACAGGGTCATCAGAAACATGATCTGGCTGCCCAACCCTTGGCTCTGCCCTGGTTCAGATCACTGCATTTAGATGGATGAGAGGGTCACCTTAAGGGCCTGTCCCATCTGAAACACAAATGCCCTTTTCAGGAAGAGAAGAAAGGAAGGATGCTGCCATTTATAGCTTGGTTACTGCATCACCTATGAAAACCGTCTGGTCCACACAGGACCCTGCAGAAGTTGTTAGCCCCACTTCACAGACAGAATCAGAGGATTCGCGCTGTGAAGGAAACCACCCGGATTCTAGAGCCGAGACTCCACCTTAAAGTACCTATATTCTCACTCTGATGTACAAATCTAGTATTTTCCAGCCTCACTATAGGCGAACAGGTCTCCTTTCAGGGCAGGGAGGAGCAGTTTCTTAATTCACCCTTACTGTTTCTGCAATGCCCACTTTGGAGTCTTAGCCTTGGTCTCTCTGGCCAGCATGAGAATGTACGGATACTGAGAAGCTTCAGTGAGCCAGGCAGAGCCGGGGCATTTTCACCGTTCAAGCTGGAAATTTAATGCACAGCAGCCTTTGATCTGCACATAATGTCACCAGGAAGCACCCTGAGAACCAGGTACCGTTTTGTCCTAGCACAGAATGGGCACGTAGCAGGCACTCTGTAGCTGTCTGCTGAAACTGAATGAAAAGAAGGGTCTAAAGGGCTGGAGCAACGGCTCAGCAGGTAAAAGCGCGTGCACTCATGTAGGTGACTCACAACTGCAGGAACTCCAAGTCCAGGAGATCCAATGCCCTCTTCTGGCCTTCTCAAGCACTCACACGCAAAAGTGCATACTAACATGCATACACACACACACACACACAGATACATTTTTAAAAAGATGCCTACACTTCCTTATGGGGCCAGGGTATGTCCCCTCACATACCTTAAGTTGATTTCCCACTGAACCACTGAGCAATCTTGGCCTCCGGCTGTGAAGGCATAGCGGCCATCGTAGGAAAGGGCCATTCCAGCCACCCCGCTTGGGTGGCAAATGATAGCGCATGTTTTGTGTGGGTTTCCGTCAACTGGCAAGATCTGGAGTCCGACCTAGGGAGGCAAGTGTAATTAGATGTTCAGACTTGAGTGCCTGAGTCTCAAGCTAGCCTGACATACCCAGGCTTTACCTCCAGATGCTTGGGCTACGTATGCACACATCTGGAGCCACCTGTCAGTGCCAGCATACGACTGGGTACAACTGATCGGTGTATCTTCCGTGGAAATTAGATTGTTCCAGGTCAATAAAAAGAAAGAAAAGTGTAATTTGGAAGCCTATGAGTTTTCACTGGGAAACTTTGAGAACTCTATCTGAAAACATCTCCTAGGAGCCTGGGAGATGGCACAGTGGGTAAAAGCACTTGTTGCCAGGCCTGACTGGCTTCTACCGCCAGGACCCACATGGTGGAAGGAGAGAACAGACTCCCGAAAGTTGTCCTTTGACATACTGTGACACATGTTCACGAGCGCACGTGTAGATGTGTGCATGTACAAACACGTGCATGTACACACACACACACACACATACACACACACACACATACACACACACACACACACACACACACACACACACACTAAAAAATTAAAACAAAAAGAAAGAAATGCCATTCTCACTAATCTGTGGTAAGTTTCAGTTTGGCCAATGACCCATATGGAGCTAAATCTCTGCAGCAGAACTAAGGACCCACGGGTCTTATCTGTTGTATTATTAAGATTATTTCTTTGGGAGAGGACATTTGTGCCACGGTGCCTGTTTGGAAATAAAGAACAACCTTCCCAAGGTAGTTTCTCCTCTCACCAGGTTCCAGGGCTCAAACGTGGGTCCCCAGATGAGGCAGTAGCACCTTTCCTGAGTGGTTGTCTCACGGGCCCTGGATCATTGCACAGTCGTCTTGCTGGGGCAGAGAAGGGAAGGGAAGCCTACCTTGTCTTTGTTGATGAACACCAGGTAACGCTTCTGCAGCTCTAATGTGGATCTAACGGGGAGCACCTGTGTGTGCTCAATAGGCGACCCATAAGCCGGTCCAAGAAGTGTCTTTCTATATAGGAAAAAAGTGCAAACTCCATAAACTTCAATGTATATTTTAAGACGATAATTGGTACTACCATACTTGTGTTGTGGTGTGTTGTTTAGGGTTTGGGTTTTTTGTTGTTGCTGCTGTCTTTTTTTTTTTTTGAGACACAGAGTCTTGCTATGTAGCCCAGGCTAGCCTAGAATTTTAGAATCCTTGCTTCAGTCTCCTGAGTGCTGGGGTTACAGGCACACACCTCTACACTGGAGTCCTTATGTATTTATGACTCTGGATTTCCTGTCTTGTCACTCAGCTGATCTCTACGTAAGAGCCTCTCATTCAAGTGCTGCCAGCGACTGCTGAAAAGAAGGGGCGCTGACTCTCGATGGCAAATGTGGTAGTGGGCTTGAGGGAAGCTGCCCGTGCGGGAAGCTCCCCGTGGCTGTGGTGTGGGCTTTCCCTCCTGACATTATGTCCTAAGAAACGGTACTGGAAAACTAACAAGACAAAGGCCTGTGGGGAAATGGCACGTCTTGGCAGGATGCAACAGACACCCGACAGCCCACAGACTGGAACGAGACACCACCCTCTGTTTCAGACAGCTTTAAATGACACTGTCACCAAATCCATCGTTGCACCAAGTTGTAGTGACTCCGGACAGGCCTCTTTAGCTCGACTTTATAATCTATTACGACTCTGTGCCATGTGCGGTAGTGTGCACAACTTGTGGGAGGGGCCCTCCTTTACTTCTGCCCCAGGACTGAACTCAGGCCCTCAGGCTTGGCGGTGGCAGTATTTATCCACTCATCTATCTCTCTGTCTTCCACTTTTTTAAGCTCTTGATATTTTGCTCAGGCTGGCTTCAAACCCCTAGGCTCAAGAGCACCTTCTGCCTCAGCCTCCTGCAGAGCTGGAATTGCAGGTACAGGCCACCTACGGTACCCAGCTTGGATTCCCCTAACTCCAGCTGCTTCCCCAAACACGAGCCTGCTCTAAGGCGAGGTCCCATTGCAGGCTGCAAGTGCTGGATAAAAGAGAACTGGTCCTGCCGCACCAGCCGTGAGAGTACCTCCTCATGCCAGGCGTGAGGTAAGGCAGTCAGGATGCGGAAACATGCAAGGCCTAGTCCCTGCTACTGAGGCCACGGCCCGGCAGGGACAGGAGACAGAGAGCTGTTTGAAGTGAGCAGCGTGGAGATGCCGAGGAGTCCCAGGGTCTGGGGCGAGGTATTCCTAGAGGGCATCTGACTGTGCTCAGAATGGTGGAGCCGAGGCAGAGAGAGCAGCCTGTAGTGGAAGAAAGGGACCCAGGAAGAAGTAAAGGCAGGGGACGCAGATCTAAGAGGCACAGACGATGATGGGAAAGGGACAGGAGCCAGGGCAAGGGGACACAGTGGCAGGGACAGTTCTCCAAGTGAGCTTTCTGCACTGGGTTGTGAGAGACTCAGCACTTTGAAACACTACAATGCCCACCAGGCAGACAACGTAACAGCTCATGCCTTTTCCTAAGGCCCTACCACATGTTGGCAAATGGGCAGAGGCAAGGGAGCAGGGATAAGAGCCAAGGGACAAGGTATGAGAAGACGGGAACCTTTGTCCCTGGTTGGGGAAGTTGTGGGGAGTAGGAACTGTGGAAACTCCAATCCTAGGGTCATTCAAGAAAGTATACAGGTCTGTGTACCCCGGGCTGTGTACCCCGGGCTGTGTACCCCAGGCTGTGCACACTGGGCTATGTACCCTGGGCTGTGTACCCCAGGCTGTGTACACCGGGCTGTGTACCCCGGGCTGTGTACCCCGGGCTGTGCACACTGGGCTGTGTACCCCGGGCTGTGTACCCCGGGCTGTGTACCCTGGGCTGTGTACCCCGGGCTGTGTACCCCGGGCTGTGTACACTGGGCTGTGTACACTGGGCTGTGCGCACTGGGCTGTGTACCCCGGGCTGTGTACCCCAGGCTGTGCACACTGGGCTGTGTACCCCGGGCTGTGTACCCCGGGCTGTGTACACCGGGCCCTGTACCCTAGTGCTCAGGACCACTACAAAATGGAGACAATGCAAATGTCTAGCGCCATCCGCAGACGCGCGGCTGGGCAGGAAGGGCCAATCCTCAGCCAGAACAACAAAGCACTAGTTCGCGTCCCAAAGTGGGTGAGTCTCAAAACCATGTTCAGTGACAGAAGCCAGACACAGAAGGTCACATGCGGTGTGACTCCATCTATAACATGAGATTATACCCACACGTGCAGAACAGACAAGTTCAGAAGACAGAAGCAGGTCAGTGGTTTCCGGGGACATAGGGATGCAGGGCCGGGGAGTGGCTACTGAGGGGAAGGAAAGTGTGCTCTTTGGTTTTGCTTTGCTTTCTCATGTGGTCTAGGTTGGCCTCAGACTACTATGTAGCTGAGGATATGGCTTTGAATTTCTGGCTCTCCTGCCTTCACTCCCGAGTGAAGAAGTGAAGAAATGCACGCCAGAAATGCATCCCTGGCTTATTAGGTACTAGGTAGAGAACTCAGAACATTGTACATGGTACGCGAGCATTCTACAAATGGGGCCAAACTGCCAGCCCAGGAACCGGCTCCCCTCCGGGTGGGACAGCAGCTTCTTGAATCGCACAGCTCAGTGGATGCAGAAAGAAAAAAGCGCTCAGAACAGCTCCTGACACAGGCGTACCCGTCAGGGACAGTCAGCCCGCCTACCCGTATTCTGCAAAACCCATCTCTTCATTCGGATTGAAAGACATTTCATGTTCATTGTAAAAAAGAAAGTTCAAGCCTTCAGACATTCATAGAATAGAACATCTACATCCTACAATGCTGAATTCTGTCGCAAGAAAGACATGGGCCATTGTTTGGTACATGTGACTCACCCAAATTTACGTCTACATGATTTCATAGGAAGAGAGAATTATACTATCCATGCTTATTTGGAAATTTGCTTTATCTCTTACTGTATCTTGGAGACATTGTCATTTTACAGCCCAGACAGTGATCTCATTATTTTTCCCCATTTGCTGAAAGCGTCATTGTGTTCTGGTGTACTGACAAGACATCATTTAACTAATGCCCTATTAACGGACATTTGAATGTTTCCATTTCAAAACATATTTCCATACAAGAGATCCTTTTACTTATGTCTTCGCCTAGCACAGGGCACTTCTCCAGGCTCCATTCCTAGACGTCAGAGGGTATAAAATTTAACAGAGGGTGACAAATTACTTTCCCCAAAGGTTACACCAATTTACACACCCACACCAGTGGTTGGACGAGCAAGCCTGCTTCTCCACACTCTCGCCAAGGCTCCACACCATCAATCACTTTTATCTTTGCTAATCCCATTTGTAAAAAATGATGTCTTGCTTTCGTCTCCTTCATCAAGAGAGGCTGCTGAGCATCTGCCCCTACGGTTATTGGTCTTCTGTGAGTTGCCTTACCATAGCCTTTCATACACCTAAAATGCATTTTAAAATTCTTTTTCTGATTCCTCATGAGAAGACAATGCTTCACCAGTTGAACTGTGGCTACCAAACTTACTCTTTTTCTAACTCAAAAGATGCCTTATACAAGGAAGAAGTGGTGGTTATACAGTGCCCTTCATTTAAATGCTCTATGAACTTGACTTCCAACCTTGCTAAGTTATTTCCTATACTTGCGGTTAGCCAAGAGGCTGAGAAGTGATGGCAATTTTTTAAAAAATTTTGCTATTGTGTGTGTATGACAGGGGTGGTCGGTGCACACATGCCATGTGGACAACTTTGAGGGGTCAATTTTCCACACTTGGCCTCGTGTGGCAAGTACTTTTTACCTGAGGAGTCATTTCCTCCTGCCATATACACTATTTTCTTCTTTTTAATAGATTTACCCTATCTTATTTAAATTATTTATTGTAGTAGGAGGCTGCTTGTTCGTTTCCCAGCTGCCCAGACTCGAAATAACCACATAGAAACTATATTAATTTAATCACTGCTTGGCCAATCACCTAAGTATATTGCTAATTAGCTCTTACATGTAGAATTAACCCATTTCCACTATTTTACATTTTACCATGAGGCTATGGCCTACTGGGAAGGTTCTAGCTGGCAGCTTGTATCTTTCCCCTCTTGCAGACACATGGCATCTCCTGACTCTGCCTCCTTTCTCCCAGCATTCAGTTTAGTTTTCCCGCCTAGCTCTATTCGGCCCTATCACAGGCCAAAGCAGTTTCATTATTCATTAACGTAAAAAAGCAACACATATACAGAAGGACCTCCCACATCAATTTATTTATTTTTATTTTAAGTGCATTGGTGTTTTGCCTACATGTATGCCTGTGTCAGATCCTCTGGAATTGGAGTTACAGACATGTGAATGTTGGGAATTGAATACAGGGCTCTTAACCACTGAGCCATCTCCCCAGCCCTGTACACTATTTTCTCAGACAATGCTTTGAGCTAACCTCAGATGGATGATCAATAGACAGAAATGTGAACACACACCACACACATATACACACCACACATACATACTACACATACCACATACACACACACACACACACACACACCACAACATACACCACACTCACCACACACATACCCCTCCCCACACCTCTGTCTCCACTGGTGATTAACAGTTAGCAGGAGCTACAAGCCTGAGGCATGCTGTCTCCTACCTTGAATTCGGTTTCTAGGACTGCCTAGGCATTTCCAGGGATGTTCTTTGCTCAGAAGTGTGTGTCCGTTAAAGAGGGACTATGAAGAGCACCCTGAAGCTCTTTACCCATTTTCTCAGGTATTTTAAACACAGTGCCAGATTTCACTTCCTGTCATAAGATGTAAGGGCTCTGTCATTTTTCCTCCCACCATCTGGAAAAGAACTGTTTTTGGTTAGGGTGAAGTGGGCAGGAGGAATGGTTCATGCTTGTAATCCCTGCACTTGAGAGGTTGAGGCAGGAGGCTTAGTGTAAATTTAAAGTCAGCCTGCGCTGCAGAATGAGACAGTGTATCAAAGCAAAAACAAAACAAAAACCCACAAAACCAAACCAAAGAGGAAGAGAGCCTGGGGTGTAGGGAGCTTTGAAAATCTCATCTGAGATGTACTTCAAGGTATGAGCATGGCCAGCCATGATGGATCATGCCTGTAATTCCAGTATCCGGAAGACTGGGTTGCATAGCAAGACCCTGTCTCAGAAACAAAATAAAACCAATCAACCAATTAAAACTCTGCTCTTCCTCCAGCAGCCTGGGCACACTGCTGCTGCTGCTGGCTCCCCCATCAACCATTCCTTCTGCCTCAGCACCTTCCAGCTATATCCATTGTATCTAATCCCCTGCAGAGAGGCTCCCTCCCCATAGGGTCTAACCCTCTGTGCAGTCCCTTGCAGAGGGCCCAGTTAGAGCAAGAGCCAAAGGGCTCTTTGAGTCTTGACAAACCTGCTTGCCTAACTGTCCAGAAATTATGAAGCCTCCCCAAACCTCAGAGGGACAGTATTTTGCAAGGTCCTGGAAAACTGAAGACAGTGACCCTGCTGCAGGGACAGCACACAAGGTCCGTGTCCAAGGTGAGGGAAATCTGGGACCCGCAGGTCTTGTAGAATTTATGACCATACCCAACAGAAGGACACCTATGCAGGGAGGAAAATGCAGCCATGGGTGCCCTGGGTGTGGTCTGCAACCCCCATCTACCTTTCTGCAGCCTCCTACTCCACAGCTTTAACACCCCAGCCGGCCTCCACCCAGAATCAAGAGTATAACTCGGGTCCTCTCACACCGAGTGGGATCTAAAACTTGCCTTGTCCAAACTTGGAATTTACTGATCTCAGATCTATCCTTCCCCGTCTGTGCCCCCACCCATTTGAGGTCAATGCCATTTTTCTGGCTACTTGGGCCTCAGTCTTCACGGTATGTAGGAGAGCCTATACTTTCTCTCACTTCCCTCAGCAAACACTGCCGGCCCTGTCCCCGATGCAGCCAGCGTCCGACCCTTCCCCTTCAGGCCACTGTCATCTCCACACAACAGCCTCCTCCCCTTGCTGCACCCACAGCCCAGCCCTGGGGTGGACACTAGACGCCAGCCGCCCTGCGGGTTGCCCTCCCCACCCTTCTCCATTCACCCTTCCCCAACTCCACTCCCACCAAGCCACTTTCTAAGAACTTCTCAGACCCCAAACCCTTGTTCCTGCGGATCCCAGCTGTAGGCTCTCCCCCAAATGTCCTACATCCCGATTTACTCCTCCCTCCCTAAGACCCCCCTCCCCGTACTCTTTGAAGACAGCAGCCCTTCTGTCCCCAGGAACTGCCTCGGGACGCCTGTCTCTCCAATCTTTATGTACAGAGTTACCACGGCTACCTACTCAGTACTGTGTTGTCCCCTTTACTAAAGTGTCCGCCCCATGATGGGGCTTTGTTCACCGCCAGGAACACTACCTGGCCCATGTAAGGAATGGACAAATGAATGCAATCAGCTGGACTCAAAACGCCTCTGAGAAGAATTAAACACACTGGGCGTGGCAGCGCATACCCGTGATCCCAGGACTCAGGAGGCAGAGGCCAGGACTACAGAGTGAGACCCTCTCTCAAAATAAAATCAAAACAACAACAACAAAAACCAAACAACTGGCATGTTTTGTTAAATGGTTGGCTCTGGTTTAGGTTTGGTTTTTTCCTGTGTGGAAAAGGATGGCTGGTTTGGAACACCAGTGACTTCTGGATTCCAGGGCTGTGTCCTTCAGAGAGATACATGGGCATCAAGCTCCGGGTCCCCTACCTCCCTGGTTCCTGGCTTAAAGCAAGAATGCGAGGCTGGCATCCTTATTCAGGCATGGCCCCACTGTGTGTTTTTGCTTTGGGGCAAACCTGACTTAGGCTGTCCTTTTGAGAAGAGGAAGGGGTGAACTGTTACCAGTGTGTGGGGGCTGAGCAATGGGTAATGGGGGTGGCAGGCACATCAGCAGGCTGAGCCATGGGGGTGGCCAGCCCGTCAGCGGCCGCCCTGGTGCGCACCTGCACATCTTCGTGGTGGAGTTGAAAAGCTTCACTTTGTAGCAGCTGTTGCAGATGAGAAGAAAGAGCTCCTTGGTGAGCGGCGGGTACCAGATCATGCAGGTGGGGTAGCTCCCCTGGTCTGTCCGGTGGATGTCCAGGACTATCAGGTGGTCTTTGTAGCTCTTGATGAGATTGTACTCTATCTGCAGAGGAGCACAGGAGTTCATGAAGGCCCAGCTCAGTGGTCCTCATCTTCCTCACATGAGACCCCTTAAAACAGTCCACCATGTTGTGCTGACCCCAACTATCAAATTACCCTCGTTGCTACCTCATAGCTACTGTTACGAATCACAATGAAAATATCTGTGTTTTCTGATGGTCTTAGACCCTTGTGAAAGGGCAGTTCAAGTGCCTCCCAAAAGGGTCGCGACCCCCAGGTTGAGAACCCCTTGCCCAGCTGGCTGAGGCACTTCAAGCCTTAGGTGTTGACCTGCATGGTAACTGGCTGGGTCTCTAAGGGAAGTTCCCAGACTCCACACTGCATGCTGCCTTCATCAAGCAACTCCCAGCAAGCAGGATGGCTCAGCACCCTGCACCATCACACCTGTGGCCCCCCAAAGATCTGGGGTGCTGTGTCTCTTCGCACACAGACCCATGAGCAGGCTATGAGTCACAGGTATTCCATGTGGCCTGTCCAGGAACGCACAGCTAAGAAGTGGTGGAGCAAAAACTTCAGTCTCAGCCAAGGGACCCCAACCTGAACTCTGCCGATGGATTAACCGCTGCCATGTCCCTTTTCACCATTTTAGGAACTAACTCAAGCCTAAATCTCAGCACTCGATGGTCCCTGATTATCAGCCTGCTCCTACTGGCCCCAGATGGTCCAGATGAAATACAGAGAAGGGAGGAAGGCCTGGAGAAAGGAGGGGGAAGGAGGGTCAGGCGGGACAATGGAAGCAGGGGCAGGTGGAGGTTTGCCCAGTTGGTAAGGGTTGACCTGATAAGATCACCCACTGTCCCTGCTGCTCTGGTTAGTTTTTGTCAACTTGATACAAAATATTCTCACCTGGGGAGAGGGACCCTCACTTGAGGAACTGCTTCCATCAGATTGGCCTGAGGCCATGACCGTGGGCCAGCAGGCCTGGGCTGTATGAGAAAGTAGCTGAGCAAGCCATGGCGAGCAAACCAGTAAACGGCATTCTTCCATGGTCTCTACTTCAGTTCCTGCCTCAGTTTCCCTGAGTGAGGGACTGTGAGCTATAAACTCTTTTCTTCCCCAAGCTGGTTTTGCTCAGAGTTTTATCACAACAATGGAAAGCAAATAAGGATGCCTAGCTGTGTCTGCCCCATCCCCCTTCCTGCTGTGTTCCCACATTCCCACGACAGTCGCACCCTGACCCCTGGATGCTGAGGAGGTATTAGTGTCAGCTTTCCCAGCGCTCGCTGGGGAGTGAAGGCAGCTGCATCTTCTGTCCTGTGTGGGACACACCCTCCCTCTGCCCACCTCCACTTCAGGACATGAGCCGTGGGAGCCATCGCTTCGGAGATGCCAACATGGAGAAGTCTGTGATGCTTCGCCGTAGCCATTTTCCCAACATGCTGCAGGCGGGGTCTGCATGAGGTGGTGAGGATGGAACAGGCAGGATGGGGCTGGGGCTAGGGGATCAGCAAACTGAACTGAACGTCTCACCAGGAACCTGTCTTTCCCGAGGCTTAGCAGCCTGGGCTCATTGCTGTCCAGATGAACCCCGAACAGGAGGCTTCGGATGCTGTTATGATGGGAACGGAGTCTCGCCAGGTATTCCCAGACCCTTTGTCCGTTTTTGACCACCACCATATACACAGCCACGGTGAAACTGACATCCTAAAGGAGAAAGAGCACACGCTGTCCCTTGACTTTGGACCTGAGAATCACCATCGTGGTTTTCAGACTTGTTGGCCTTCAGACTATCTTATCCAAATATATCTTAGCACAGCAGAACAAGTAGCAAGAGCAGCCCTTATTCTGCAGACCAGGTGACTGAGGTTACCAGTGTGGCACCAGCCCCGCTCTTCTGTCCACGTTCTTACACCGTTCCTCAGGGGAAGCCAAGAGCCTGACTCTTTCCGCCTTTGTCCTCCCTACCCTTTGTCTAGCTACAGAAAATAAAAAAGATCTGATACAGGCCAGAGTGGCAGAGAGCAGCCAGCAGGTGTCTCATGTCCATGCTGGGTGCCAGGACAGCTCTGATCCTTGCCAGTGTGTGTGTTCCAGCCAGAGGCCAGGCTGCTTGTGGGGAGAACGTCAGAGGGAGGTGGCCCTATGAGGACCCTCTTCCTTACCACCACGCTGCCATACCAGGGGACAGCCAGAACCACTTCCCTGAGATCACATGACCTCATCACAGCAGGAAAGACCAGAATCCAAAACCCTAAGGAGGCTGCCTTGTCAAAATGAGTGAGGATGAAGCATTGCATACAGAGAGATGGGGGCCAAGAAACACGACAGCCAGCCCCTGGGTCTCGGGACCCCAGAAACACAACAGCCAGTCCCTGGGTCTTGGGGTCCCAGAAACACGACAGCCAGGCCCTGGGTCTCGGGGTCCCAAAAACATGACAGCCAGCCCCTGGGTCTCGGGGCCCCAGAAACACGACAGCCAGTCCCTGGGTCTCGGGGCCCCAGAAACACAACAGCCAGTCTCTGGGTCTCGGGGTCCCAGAAACATGACAGCCAGCCCCTGGGTCTCGGGGTCCCAGAAACACGACAGCCAGTCCCTGGGTCTGGAAGTTCTGAGGCCTTGCTCCTGTCTGCCTGAGAAGTCCTTCTACCTCACCAACCTTTCCCCTTCTCTTTGTATCACAGCCTGACTGGGATGTAAGCCCCATTGTCCTCAGGCTCCTCGCCCCTTTGTTTGTAAAGAGCCCTGAGTGGAGGGAAGAACTCACAGCAGTAGCCATGTAATTGGAATCATGGGAGAAGCTGACGTGCGACACACTAGCTCTGGAGTATCTGAAGGGCTCTGGACTTTCATTCTCTAAAGACATCGCGTCAAGAATATAAACCGTCCCCTCTGTGAATCCAGCTCCAAGCAGGGCTCCTGAAAAGACAAGCCCAAGAACGATGATGGAAAAGGACTTCCTTCATCCCAAGAGTGAGTCCCTGCAAGCTTTGCTCGACAGCAATAAGCAAGAGGAAAAACCACCACAAGAAAAATGGGAAAAGAAACACCTTGGGAAGGGCGCTAGACTGGAGGGAGGGACAACTGGCTGGTGACAGACCAGGGCACAGCCCCTGCGGGTACCTTGGAACCTGTGAGAGAGTGAGTACCTTCGGGGTTGTAGCTCAGACTCTGGACTCCAAGCCCCTTCTCGAAGGTCCTGCTGAACAGATACACCTTCTTCTCGTAGTCCCACACCTTGATCATCCCGCAGACACTCCCAACTGCGATGAGGGGTTGGTACGGGTGGCAGGAGATGGCATAAACGGCATCCCTGGGCTCCACAAAGAGCTTCTCAAGTTTGGTGCCATCTGTCGTCATGTGGTACACGGTAGCATCAAACGTTCCAATAATAAAATTCCTGTTTGCCAAGGAGAGACCCGGCAGGATCAGCGTTTGCAGGGAATGGCCACACCAACCATTCTGCTTCTAACTGCATACGAGCCGCCTTTGTCGTCTATAATTTGGTGACATTATTAACCCAACATCTCCAAAAATATACCACCAACATCCAACAGCCTCCATTTGCAAGTGAAAAAAGCCCACTTTCCCACATATAAATTGAGTCATTAAGTATGCAGATGGACAGTTAGTTGTACAATTAGCTAATCTACACATGCAAATATTCATTTGTGTATGCAAATATGGAGTTGGGTGCACACATACAGATGTGCCTGTAAAGACTGCAAGGGTAATTAAGCAGACTCATGGATAATTCAGTCTTGAAATGTTATGGCTATTAATTATCCAATGCCTTTAACCTCAGTGGCTAGGACAAGCTCAGCTCCAAGAAATGAGGCTACCCCATGGCCAAGGACTCCAAGCACAATAGAGATGAGAAGTCAGGGATGAGGGCCATCCAGCTCTGGCTTCTACATGGTAAAGGCGTTAACTAATTAAAAAAAATACATCTCCAGGGCAACACAGAGAAACCCTGTCCGAAAAACAAAACAAAGCCAAGCCTAGTGGTGGTGGTGTTCACCTTTGATTCCAACACTCCTGAGGCAGAGGAGATGGATCTCTGTGTTCCAGGCCAGCCTGGTCTACAGAGTGCATCCCGGGCTAGTCCTGGGTACACAGTGAAACCCTGTCTTGAAAAACCTAAACAAAAGAATCCGACACTGATTGCAATGAACCAAGGAGAGACAGCTGTAAAACTAGGAAGGCAAACTCTCTCAATTCTGTGTCCTAGGAACAAGAGCAACATCCACGGCACCGCACACAAACTGGAAGGGGACATAGTCAACTCACCTGACGACGAAAAGGTCACCTTTTAACGTGCAGTCTGTGGGGAAGTTGGATTTCTCTGTAGGTGGACTGACTGGGCTCTTGGAAAAGGACAGCGTCCTTATGGCACCTAGTTTGAAGTTACTGTACCAGTTGACAACAGACAGGGTGTGATCGTAGAACTTAATACTGCCCTTTACGTCACCTGTGACAATGTAGCTGGAATAGAGAACAACAGCACTGGTGGCAAGAGCCGGTTAATGAGCATGTGACTGTGTAAGGCTCTAGCCCCCGGGTGTTGCCATGCTCCACTCAACAGTGGCCAGTGAGGCTTCTTTTCCTGTCACCCCACTTTATAGCTACATCTCCAAGGCTAAAGAGAAGACATCCGCTCAAAGCCTAGGGTTGCCAGGCACAGTGGATACCCTGCATAGCAGGTTCTATTAATCTGAATCTTGGATAAACGCCCATATTCCCAAATGTTGTCTATGAATGTTTGTTTACATTTAAAGGGGATATGCTATAGAGATTTGCATTAGTATGGATCTTGCTTTATGGATACAAATTTAAGGTCAATTTTGTTATATTGTGTATATATATTTCTACTCTTGATTAAGGAATTGTGTTTGTGCAGCTCATTTAAAAAGTAATGTAGTGCTTTACTTTTACATTGTAGCTGTGGGTACAATGGTCTGTACCCTGTCACTTGTATTCTAAATAAACGCTGATTGTCCAGTAGCCAGGCAGGAAGTATAGGTGGGGCAACAAGAATGCTGGGAAGAGGGAATGCAGTCTGTAGTCATGACCCAGCCTCAGAGGAAGCAAGATATAACTGCCTCACCAAAAACGGTAACAAGCTACGTGGCTAACTCAGACAAGAATTATGGGCTAATGTAAGTTATAAGAATTAGTAAATAAGAAGCCTGAGCTAATGGGCCAATCAATTTATAACTAATGTAGACCTCTGTGTGAGTTCTTTGGGACTTAACAACTGTGGGAACCAGGCAGGACAGAAACCTCAGATAACAATGTATAATTAAGAAATATAGGTTAATAAATAATCATCTAAAATAGTCAAGCTTATAGTCATGTTAGTTAAATTTTCTAGATGTACAGAGATGTATTTCAGATAGATAGGTATTCTTCAAACCTTTCAAAGACTACAGAATATGGCATTTAAAATGTTTTAATAACTTAGGACTTTTCATGACAATGAGACACATCTGCTCCTGGCAGCACCAATTACTTCAAGAGGAAGATGGGCACTGAAGAGGCTCCTTATGGAGTTTGCTGGCCATTTGGGCAAGAAACTGCTCTTGCCTAAACTGCTTGGTGAGCTGGGCATTCAGGACCCACAGAGAAATGACTGCTAAACTTGTCTAAAGGTGAGATGATCCTTTGGGGTCCCTACTTCATGAAAGAGTCTGCTAGATATTCTGCAGGACATAGAAGAAAGTGACCGACAAACTGCCAATATAGGCAGAACTGTCTTTGAAATTTTCTGCTTCATGAAAAAGTCTGCTAGATACTATGGGCCTGTAGACTGAAGATGGATGTAATATAATATTGTAACTATAATTCTTGCTTGATACCCATTTTGTTATATGTAATTTTACTATATTAAAGTTAAAATCTTCCTTTTCATTTAAACAGATAAGGGGAGGTGATATGGGATTCCTCTCTGTATGCTGTGAATATCATTGGTTAATAAAGGAACTGCTTTGGGCCTATAGCACAGCTAGGCAGGGAAAACTAAATGGAATGCTGGGAGAAAGGAGGCAGAGGCAGAGAGAAGTCATGGAGCCTCTGCCAGAGACAGATGAGCTGAAACTTTGCTGGTGGGCCACTACCTTGTGGCGATGCACAGATAAATGGAGATGAGTTAAATTAATATTTAAGAGTTATCCAATAAGAGACTGGAGCTAATGGGCCAAGCAATGATTCAAATAATACAGTTTCTATGTGATTATTTCAGTTCTGGATGGCTGGGATGAACAAGCAGCTCCCTGCAACACACTTGCACCAAGCTGGGCTCCATGGTTAGAGTACATAGGAGCCTGGTGTGCCTAAAGAAGACAGCCCATTCTCTTAAACACTCTTCTGGCTCCAGGATCAGCCCCTTACCACAGTGGAGACGGTGACTTACAGTCACTGCCAGCTGACCACAGATGACAATGGAGAACAATCATCACACAGGCTAGATAGTGAGTCGTGTTAGAACCATGAAGCTGCACCTGGTCATCGCAAGCAAAGGCAGTGCTGGGGGAAAATATGGCTTTTATTTCTAGTCCTCCAATCCAATCCAAGAGAGATCTTTTATTTTTTAAGACTTTTAAAAAAAATCTAACCACGGGCGGGTAGGGGGAGAGATTCTTCTCAGATGTTATGCAGAATGATTAAATGAGATTTCTGATGAATAAACTAGACCAGGCAGGCAGAGTAATTGGCAAGGATTGCTCCTACTGCCCTCTGCTGGGCAGAAGCGGCAAAACTTACCCAGTGTTTGTAGGGCCCTTCTCCTCTTGGCTAGTGTTCCTTAATAAGGGAGAGGGGAACCCAGGCCTGGTCCTCAAAGGCTCTAACCCCAGCTCGCATACCTCTTTGTAAAGGCTCCCCAGGACGCCAGGACTGCCCAGCGCCCCTGCACTGAGTGGTGCAGATGAAAGTTAATGGGCGCAGTGAAGACGGATTGTACAGTGACTCCAGCCACAGGGCAGGTTCTTGTCCTAAAGACATTTTTTCACATTTATGGGAACTTCTCTAACACGCTAATGATAGCTGCTTTTGACCTAGGGCTCCCGGTATGCTAAGGAGCGGACATGCAATCCTCATGAAATGACTGGGGGCTGAGCGAAGGGAAAGCATGCAGACCAAGGACAACTTCTCACCTCCCCCTCTACAGGTTCCAGGGACTGCACTCTGACCGACAGGGTGTTGGGTCCCCTGGAGATGGACTTATGAGTGGTTGTAAGTCACCATGTGGGTGCGGAGAATCAAACTCAGGTCTTCAGCAAGAGCAGCACGTGCTGTTAATGGCTGAGCACCTCTCGAGCCCCTTGAGGTATTTTCTCACATTTAAAGCATGAAATTTGGGGCTCTGAAACAGGTTTCATTAGCACAGAAGAAAAGGAGTCCCTTTTCGTGTCACTCATACAGAGATTTTTAAACACAATGTGTGCCCGTGAGTTTTTTAAAAGTCTCCTTAGGGGCCGGGCATGGTGGTGCATATCTTTAATTCTGGCTCTTCAGGGGAAGAGGCAAAAGAAAGCAGATCTTGTGAGTTCCAGGACAGTATGGTCTACACAGTGAATTCCAAGCTAGCCAGGACTACTCAATGAGACCCTATAAAAAAAAATAGTAAGAAAGAAAACATAATAAAATAAAATCCTGTTAGTGCATGTAGCAAGCACGAACCTATTCCTGCAGATGGTAGTGGTACACGCCTTTAATTCCAGCACTCAGGAGGCAAAGGCAGGTAAAATAAAATAAAATTTTAATAAAATTTTATTAAAAATAATAAAATAAAATCCTGTTAGTGCATGTAGCAAGCACGAACCTATTCCTGCAGATGGTAGTGGTACACGCCTTTAATTCCAGCACTCAGGAGGCAAAGGCAGGTGGATCTCTGTGAGCTTGAGGCCAGCCTCAAGCTGTGAGTCTACAGAGTGAGTTCTCAGACAGCCAGGGCTGTTACACAGAGAAACCCTGTCTCCAAAGCAAAACAAAACAAAAAAGATCCATTCCTATGCTGAACCAAAAGTGCTCAGTTCTCCTGCTGAGAGACAACTGATACTCCAGGTAGCTACAACTCTCTCCAGAAGCAGTGTGTATCTATGACAATGTATACAAAAAGGGTCTAACAGAGACTCAGACACTAAGGAGGGAGCTGGAAGAATAGTCTTCCCTCAGGGAAGAAGCCCTCAGCTGGCTGTCTAATCCCAAATGCTCAGCCCTGAAATCATATGCATACAAGCAACATTGTACAGACTGTGTAGGTTGTAGCTAATTATTTAGGAATATATATATGTGAGTGTGTGTGTGTTGTGTATATTATATAATATGTAACAACAGTTTTAGAAAAGAGTTCATGAATTGGGGAAAGGGTAAGGGGGGTTAGAGAGAAGATGATGCGATTATATTTTAATTACAAATATATGTGTACATAAACCAGAGGTCTACAATACATGCGTGATCACACCAGGATCTCCTCTAATTGGCTCCTTACTTGTCGACTGTGGTGAGGACGGTGATGCCTTCCTTCTGTAAATGGACCAATTTGCGAGGCTTGATGAAGGGAAAGGCCGACGCGGAGGACGAAGAGCGGTTGTGGATATCCCAGACAACAAGCTTCCCTTCCTTCGTGGCCGAAAGTATTTGTGCTAACTTCAAGTGAAAGATAGACTGGCTGAATTTTCCTACGAGTTTGTTGAACGTCTGTGTTTCAAAGACAGGTTGTAAGTTACAGTGTGGGTTATAGATTACAGGTTATGAGTTACATGTATCAGTGCAGTGTTTTATAACATTAGAATGAAGAGACAGTGAGACAAAAAAGAAATGACTGAAACCTGCGGGTAACTAGCTCTGGACCCTCTGCAGTTTCGCTGAAGGTTATGGGCTGTGCTCAGATACACGGTGAAAGGTGACCCAAGAATGGCTAATGACTGCTGACACCTGCCCAGCTTCTCTCGTGGAGGCTGTTGAACACATAGTCTGTCATGAACAGAAGCACGCTCTGGGTGAAAACTACAAAGTAATATACCTGATGTCCTTTGACTGCAAGGTATTGTCTCAGCAGAAGAAACTCTTCTGGCCCTTAGCATAAGAATACTTTGGTAAGACCACCTATTCAATGTATGCTTTTGTGAGATAAACAAGGCATTTAGTCCTGTCTTTCTTATACAATGTTTCAGAGAGAAAATATGGAAGGAGGGCTGGAGAGATGACTCAGAGGGTAAGAGCACATACTGCTCTTCCAGGGGACCTAAGTTCAGTTCCCAACACCCATGTTGGACAGCTCACAGCTTTCTGTGAGTCCAGCTCTGGGGAAACTGATACCTTGGGCTCCAAGGGTGCCAATACTCCCAGGCACATAATCCCTACCCCACACACATGCACATGCTTAATTTTAAAATAAAATCTATAGTGATGTTTTATTTATGTTTTAATAAATAAAGCTTTCCTGAGGATCAGAGGGTAAATAAAACTAAGCCACTGGAGGCCAGGCAGTGGTGTCCCACACCTTTAATCCCAGGATTTGGGAGACAGAGGCAGGTGGATCTCTGTGAGTTCAGGGCCAACCTGGGTTACACAAGATCAATGCAGAAACAGATCCAGGAGGTGATGGCTCACACCTTTAATCCCAGCACTATAGGGGAATATAAAACAGGAGGAGACAGAGGCTCAGAGCTCAGTCTGCAGTCGCCTAGCCTTGGTAGGGGTAAGACTTTCCTAGTGGCTTGACTGTTTTGCTTTTCTGATCTTCAGCTTGAACCCCAATATCTGTCTCTGGGTTTCTATTACTTGTGCTATATTAGGTACCCAACGTTTGGGGTACAAATTCATGAAAAAGTCATCAGCACAAGCCGGGGCTGCATATCTGGGCTCCAGCCTCACTCAGCAAGGCTTACTTTTCTTTTGTTCCCAAGCCTCTAAGTGAGTTTGGGATTTTCTCTTCTGGCTTTCAGGCAGCCCCCCAACACATGTGCTTTTTCAAAAAAAAAAAAAAAAAAAAAAAAGAAAAAAAAAAAACCCTATACCTTTTTCTGACAGCCAGCTCTCTTTCTCCACCATGGGTTGTGGGCACTCCCTGAACCCCTTGGGCTGCTGCCAAACTAAGTAGCTGCCATGAAATCCGGTCAGGCTTTGACTGCTGATTGCAGCAGCGATCAGCCTCACATCTTCATCAACATTGTCAGTAAATTTCATAGAACAATTGGGAATTCTTAAAGGGAGGAATTAGTTAAAAGAGAGAGTTTTTTCCCACATTAAAAAATGGGAAAAACCATTACAATGAAGGTATTTGGATCTCTGTATGATAACACACTGGGCAGTTTGAAAACGGAACAATCAAATGAGAGGATATCTAATTTAGGTGGGATTTATGTAATGCCGATTGTAAACATTACCACCTTTATCATTTTTGTCTTATCACTAAAAAAGATGGTTAATCTGAGTGCTAAGATACAGGCCTTAGAAAAACAGATCACAGATCACAGAGATATTCAAATCCAGACAGAGGAATTTAATGGAGAGGCAATTACAGCATTGCATTATAAAAATAGAGAGAAACAGCCTGAGGCTTTCAGAAACCAACCTTATTATATCCAGTAACCTTACAAGAATTGCCAAATGGCAGAGACTCTGTTACAGCTAATTGGACTCCTGTGCCAATGTTAGATTTAAGCAGATTCAAGGAAGCAATAGTCTATATGGCATGCATTCACCTTTTGTGAAGCAAATGTTAAACTCGTGGTCAGTTTGTAATAGAATTATACCTAACAACTGGATAGAATTCATTAAAGGTGTTTTTAAGCCTGGTCCACAGTTACAATGGAGTACCCGGTTCAGAGTAGAGGCTAAGATTATTGAACAATGGAGTAAAACTAAAGGTAGGGAAATCTCCCAAGATCAAATTCTTGGAGAAGGAGACTATACTACTATAGAAAAGCAGGCTGTATATGATGACCACAGCCTGGGTTTATGCCACACAGCAGCTTAGAATGCTTGGGACAGAATTGGAGAAATGGGAAAGAAAATTGAATCATTTACTGAAGATATCCAGGGCCCAGAGGAAGCCTTTATGGATTTCCTATAAAGATCAACATCAGCAGGAAATAGAATGATACCGAATTCAGAAGTTAGACAAATAATAACTGAATCTCTGGCTTTTGAAAATGTCAGTTTTCTATACAAAAAGATCATTAGGCCATTAAAGGCAAGACCAGCACCTCTGGAGGAATGGATCTGAGATACAATTAATATTGAATCTCATGAACATGCTGAGGCATGGATAGGAGAGGTGATTTTATAACTGTGGCAAGCAAGGTCATTCTAAAAGGTATTGTAGACAGGGCATTCCTAGAAACAATATTTTTTCAAAGAATAATCCATTTAAATGCCTCTCCCTTCTGGATTATGTGGAAAGTGGACTAATGAATATAGGTCAATGAGGAATGTTCATGGTATTCCTTTGCCTCAGGAAACTCCATGTGGGACCTCCTGCAAGTCCCTATGCCAAATCTGGTTCAGTCATTTCCTGCCATCATAGAGGAAACTCCTTCCAAGAGCAATTAATGAACCTAATGCCTATTGTATGCAATCATACTGCTCTGGATAATAGAACAGCTATAGAAGAGAGAACAAAAAAAATTCAGAAGAAACCATAAAACAAGTATTTTGGCAAACTTTTATAAATGAACAAGGACCAAAATTAAAAATACAAATAAATGACATTGTCATTGAAGTTCTGGTAGACACAGGTGTGGATGTAACAATAATTTCATCAAAATTTTGGCACACAAATTGGCCTCTTCAGGATGCAAATGTTCAGATTTTAGGGATCAGAACTTTATTTCAGGTAAAGCAGAGCTTGAGATAGGTTGAATGTATAGGGCCAGAAGGTCAGAGAAGACTATTAAAACCATATGTAACTAACATAGCAATGAATTTATGGGGACATAATTTGTTACAGCAATGGAATACTCAGATTAACATTTCCCCAGTCTTAGAAACAAATCATAAATTAACATATATTTCTGGGAAAAATATTATAAGATATTATAAAGAATAGTCACTGACCATTATGGGTTATACAAAAACACGGCACAACAGTTGATGATATTTCAAAGGCACCAACAGCCCCACCTTTAAATGGTTGGCAGACAAACCTGTATGAGTTAAGCAATGGCCTTTAACAATAGAGAAACAGCAAGCTTTAGAACAGTTGGTACAGGAGCAACTAGATGCTCACCATATAGAAGAATCAACTAGCCCTTGGAATTCCCCTGTATTTGCTGTTAAAATGAAATCTGGAAAATGGAGGATGAAAACAGATCTAAGAGCTGTTAATAAGGTGATTCAGCCAATGGGTTCTCTACAGTCTGGCATTCCTTTGCCTTCTCTATTGCCTACAGGATGGCCTTTATGGGTATTTATTTAAATGATTACTTACTCACTAGACCTTTACAAGAAAAAGACAGAAAAAAATTGTCTTCACAGTGCCTACTTATAACAATTTTCAGACTGCTAAAAGATACCAATGGAAGATTCTCCCACAGGGCATGATAAATAGCCTCACCTTGTGCAATATTTTGTAAGTCAGCCATGGAAATGATATTTAAGAAATTTCCTAAATCTGTAGTTTACAGTTACTTCATTTTTTTATTATTTTTATTATTATTTTGCTATCTGATTCAAATGTAGATAGTTTAGAAAGAATGTTTGAAGAAGAAAATTTTGCCTTTTGGAAGGTTACAAATTGTTCTTGAAAAAGTACAAAGAAGAGATTCTATTAATTATTTAGGCTATAAAATAGGTTTACAAAAAATTAGACCCCAAAAAGTACAAATTAGAAGAGACTGATTGCAGGCTCTTAATGACTTCCAAAGATTGCTAAGAGAGATTTTTCAATCTACAGCCCACTATTTGGATAGGTCCTGATGACTTGATTAATTTAAACAAAACCTTAGATGGTGACAAGGACTTAAATAGTCCCAGGGAATTATCAGCTGAAGTTCAGAGGGAATTGTCTTTGAAGAGAAATTACATAAGGCAAATATGGATCATATGGATTCAAATCTTAACAGCATTCTGGTGATGTTATCCTCCAAACATTCCCCTACAGGAATTTTATGTAGAATGAATATATTATCTTAGGTTGGAACTTTTTACCACATAAACCAAGTAAAAAATTAAAAACTTATGTGAAAAAGGTCTCTGAGTAAATTATAAAAGGAAATTGAGACTTTATCAATTAGCAGAATTAGACCCAACAGAAATTATACTACCTTTTAATAATGATAAAAATGATGAGGGCTGGAGAGGTGGCTCAGAGGTTAAGAGCATTGCCTGCTCTTCCAAAGGTCCTGAGTTCAATTCCCAGCAACCACATGGTGGCTCACAACCATCTGTAATGGGGTCTGGTGCCCTCTTCTAGCCTGCAGGCATACACACAGACAGAATATTGTATACATCATAAATAAATAAATATTAAAAAAACACAGCATGTAAAATAAATAAATCTTTAAAAAAATGATGAAATTATAGTAAGAAAGTGAACCCTGGCAGGGAACTTGTAGTAATTTTTTGAAAGAGACTAACAACAACTATCCCCAGGCTGGAGAGATGGCTCAGTGGTTAAGAGCTTTGCCTGCTCTTCCAAAGGTCCTGAGTTCAATTCTCAGCAACCACATGGTGGCTCACAACCATCTGCAGTG